AAAAAAAACTAGGCACCTAATGATGAATGAGTAGAAAAATTGTTCTCTTTCCATAAATACCGGTACCAATATTTAACTTTTTTTTCTGAAAATTTTATTTGTTTTATTTCAAAATATAGAATAATGAATAATAATAAAAGAAACCGGAACTGGAAAATATTAGCACTGCATGCAATAAATCAGTCATTCAATAAATCAATCATTAAAACAATAATTCAACAATGAACGATGAAAGAAAGAAAAGGAAGAGAGACATAAAAGGATTATTGTTGTGCACGGAAAAATAAATGATTGGATGACAATGATAAATTATATAACACTCCAATATATTATCGTATTTCTGTTCTCATTTTTCTTTTCGTTTTTTTTTTTTATTTTGTTTCTCGAAATGATTTATAATCATTTCATTAATTAATATTCCACATACCTAAACAAATATGCATCAACGATGACTGAACTGAGTGAAATATGAAAATAAATGAATCATTCCTTTTCATAATTATATCAGATAGAAACCTAATTTGAAAAGAAAACACAAAAACAAAAAAAAAAAGAGTAATGGATATCAACATTTGCACAAAATTTACATCAGAAACAATATAAAATCACTTTTATCACATCTATTTGTCAACCGCTGCAATCCTGATAAATGATAATGAAAGAAAAAAAGGTTATGAAAAGCTCCGAATTTGATATTTTTATTGAAAACTTTGATGACTGTTTATTCATATAAAAAATCTTCGCGATAATTCAAAAACCTTAACACTTTGAGCAATAAATAAAAAATAGTTTGTCAAGCAAAAATTCAACAGACATTTATGGTATTTTAATCTTTTTTTTCTCCCATCTCAAATTCAACAGCAATACTTGAGAACAGCATCTCTTTAAATAATATATAAGCTCATTTGTAGAATAAAGTAAATTGGAATATGGAGAAAAAATGCAGAAAAAATTTTTACAAATAATAATATGTACAGAGTCTTTTTTCCTCTTCCTCTTTTTTGTATTAAATCAAATTGAATAGAACAAAAATGAAAAAATTAATGTCAAGCAGTATAACTAAAACAAATTAACTAAGTAGAAGAAAGTGAATGAGAAATAAAATAAAAGAAGAATAGTTATTAGGAGAATTTCGTAGAATTTAATGTCGAAATTTGTTTAAAGTGAGGAGGCTATGAAAATGGCACTGATCTGAATAAAAGGTTAAAAAGGAAGAGGAAGAAAAATGATCATCAATAAAGAAAAAGGAAAACACCGGTTTAATTTCTGATGTAAACTCAAATCCGAAAACCGTATTAATTTTCTCATATATACAATAAGTTTGCTGCTGTATCGTAATTGTTGACAAGTTTCGTCACTGATCAACATTTGATTAAACGATTTTCGATCTATTCCTTGCCTTTTTCAATAAATCTTTCTAATTTTATTTTTGATAATTGCATATCTTTGGTTATAATCATTAAAATTTTCCAGCTCATAGCACCAAAAAAGTCATGACAGTATATATTTTTTTTTCTTTTTCAAAAACGTGCCATTGAAATAATTTAAAAAAGATGAAAAAGTAAATGAATTGAAGAGAAAAGGCATGCATAATGAGAGAAAAAGAGAAATTAGAGATGCCAATTTTCAAGTCAGTATTTTGAAGCTTTTAATGATCTACTTTATAAGATATTGCTACCTAATATTTTTAACAGCAATGGTTTTCTTCATTATGGTATAATTTATTTCGGATATTGTTTTTAATCATAAAGCAAAAAAGCCAACAACAGGAAGCGATATTCAACAGTGTACATGCATAATATATTCAAATGTTTAGATACCATTGCTTTATTTTAGAATGAAAAATCATAATGATATTTATTAATCATTTGTTCAATATGTTAGTTAATTAATCAAAAGACATTTTATCATGTTTTCTTGCAAATGTTTCCATATTTCAAAAAACTATGTACAGGAAAAAATTAAAAAATATAATTTTTCATTTAAAATTAAATATTTAAAATCAAAATCCAAAGATAATCAATATTTGTTTTGTGTTATTATAGCTACGTGTGTTTTGTGCATATTATTTACAAAAGGCTTAATTCCATTTCTGAATACTTGAATGAAATAAGATTGAAAACATTGACTATATGATTAAAAATGTCATGAATTGTAATGAATTTAAAATTTCAGGTATAAAATGATAAATCAATTCTACAGTTGAATTTAACCCACTACACACCTTTCAACAAAATCAAAAATTTATTTTATCAGAGAACATATCAACCAATTATGAAAAGAATTCCAGATGAATTTTAACTTCATTACACTTACATTGTGAGCATAAATAACAGAAAATATTACTTTAGGAATTTTAGGGTCTAACAGAGGAAAGAATTCACAGTTTCTTAATTCATTTGTGAAACTTCTTATGCTTTAAGAAAGCATGGAGTCACTACCGTACCATTCCTTTCGGTGTAACACAGATTCCTTACTTTCCTTCTTCATAGTTGAATTGCGCTGCTTCCTTCTCTCATGAAGTTTTCATCCGTCTGTCCTCTCTGATATATGAAATGTACACCAATCTATCTCAAACAACAAACCATCACCGAACATTACCGCAATCGCAAATTTTGTTTTCCAATAAATTTTAAAATAAGAAGAAGGAAATGAATTCATTTACTCTGCCGCTATCATTTTACTATGCTGTTGTGATATTAATCGCTAAAATCGTTTTGACCTAAATATTGCAAATGCTATCGAATTGTTGATCGATTAATACGACCGGAGTGAGAACTATCAAAATCATTCTGAATTTCAGAAAGCGATGTCTCTCTGCTGTGATGACGTAAGAAGCTTTAGTACTGGTAATTGTATCAGTCAAATAAAAGTGAATTAAAAGCTTTACCTACCACAAAAACAACGTCATCTTGTAATGATTGCGAACAAAATTTCCAACTAAATTATGCACACGTCAGCTGGAACATATTTCCCAAAATATAAGCCTCCACACTTCAAATTCTACCAAATTCATCTTTTAATTATATGTTTCTCAAAGAGTATATCATTCATTTAGTTGCACTTTATTCTTTCAAAGTGAAGCGATTGAAACATATTCATGCTAGAATGAATTCAAAATTTAGAATAAATCGCAGTTGCTACCAGCAGTGGTCTTCTGATTAATAACTTTGAATCATTTTAATGCACGTCTTATCCAAAATTTAAAGAACTTTCTTAAATCTAATGCTTTTTTAAAATTAAACTGAATGAGGACACGTAAATTATTTAATCCTAATTTTTAAAGTACTTTTAAAATTTCTTATTTGCTAAAGATTGCTAATAAATTATTACACCAGGAAATGAGTATAATGATTCAGAGAAGGGATGTAAATTTGAATTAAACAGAAGAAAATTATTTCATGTCATCAACAACTGCTTCAAAATGGTCTCGCTTTGACACATAAACAAAAGCCATGCATCAAAGTGAGTATCTTTCAGTCGGGTACACGACATACTTTGATTGAAAGTATTTTTTATTACCTCAATGACCAAAAGTTCGTCATTCATACCGGCCAGGAAAGCATAACATGCACCTTCCTGTTTTGTTTTATCATACATATGCATTGCACTTAACTAATTTAAGTATTGACAAATCAGTTCACAAATTTTGCTTATGCGGTAAACTTTTCTGAATTTAAAAAAGTTCCAGTGATTGCTTTATTAAATTTATAGGAATATATGAACAAGCAATTATCGGCAATTAATTTTTTTAAAAATAAGCCATTCTTACAAGGCAAATTAAA